GTGAGTTAGGTAAAGTCTTAGCTTTAGCGAATCATTTAAAATGTACAGTATACAAATGTTTAATAAAGTACACATACTTAGCTTGACCTAGGGTTAAAAAAAAAAAATAGTTTATTGACTTTTTGTTACTTTCAATTGCTAAATATTTTTAAGGGGTTTTTTTTTGTTAAATTCTATTATTTTGACTTTGTTTCATTCTATTTCTTTAAAACTTTATTAACATAAAAGCATAGTATTTCTTGTAAATATTTTTTTTGTATATAATTAAAGAATCAATAACAGTAAGAAATATTTATATAAAATTTTTAATATTATTTTGATTTATTAGATTATTTTTTTATATGATTTATTATAACCTATTTATGAAATGACTATATAAGTTTTAACTAATGTATTTAAGCTCTATTAGTTTCTGATTAAAATATTTTATAATCTTTGATTTTATTAATTAAATAAAATCTTTTATTATGGAATAAATTTTTTATATACATTTCTTGACACATCTGCATAATATTGGAAATTACCAATTATAGTAATATTGTGATATTGTAGATGCGTGGATTATTTAAATTGTAATCATATTATCCAAATCATCCAATTCGTACTTCTCGTGAATAAGTATACTATAGAATGCATTTCACGCCTTTTACCTTACAGACCCTTCTCGACAACGTGTCACTTGAGGACACCCAACAGGCTTCGTCTCAAAGTGCCGTTACTGGTTCGCGACTCGTGTGGGGGAGTAAGGATAATAGAAGCAACGCCAGTTCACGGCTAGGATGGGGAAGTAAAGAAAGTAAAGTAATGGTGGAATCGGTGGAAGCCTGGGGTACAGTATGCGCACAATTTCTCGTAAACTTATTATTGGCGCGACTTCAAGTCACATACTCTCTCCGCTCCAACATTCTAATATAACGATATCACCATTCTAATCTTTACTTTGCAATCATAAAGAAAATAATTTATACATAGGTACCTCCGACGGACACATTATTCATTATGTTTTAGACGATCAAATATCCTCCGAGAATGTGTGTATCTTTTGAATTAGGAGCGTTTCTCACACACTAGATAACAAATAATGACGAATTTTTCGAAAACTTGTCAACAGAGCATACCTAGCAATTTTCAATTATCAAAAATACCTTTGGGCTTTGGCAAAAGAAGTGTTGAGCGAATAATGCTTTTTCCACAAATTTGCGTGGCCATCATCTTCTGTGGTAGGTTAAATAATGTTCGGATCTAGAAGAAATTTTCCCATCTAATTGTGCCTCGCCTAATTAAACATGGCATCGTTTAGACTCCACATTGTCCGCTTACGCCCTTCCGAATATGGATCCCCTGCCTGCTTCAGATTTTCCTCCCATTAAGGGGGTCACTTGTTTCTGTCATGACATATCTATGGAGGGGAAAACCGAACACGATGGCTCCGTTAGATTTTGTGCGATGAAGAAGAGGATGATGCACATTTTCTCTATTAGAGATAAATGGGTTGAAGAGGCGGTATGATTTCTTAAAAGTTGAACGATTTGGCGGTAAATTTATTCGTACGAATAACAAGTTCATCGATAGAACCTTTCGTTACCGGACGGAGCGATAACTGCTTGTCAATATGGTCCTTACTTGTGTGTCGCCGATAATCAAAAGTATAGTTTGATTAACTTAAAGGAGAGAAGGATGGATGACGTGATGCCATACAGTGATCGCAATTCAATTATGGGAAGCGAAACGTTTAAACCCATTATTACGGTTATTGGAGATTCCGAGTTTCTGTTAACATTACCCGCCAATGGTCATATCCTTGCCAGAATAATATGTGATGCCATCTGCTTTAACCGATTTTATAATAGAACTCCTTAATTTACGCTTATAATAAACAGATGACAATAGGGCAGTTTATCTCATTCCGATTAGAGTCTAGGCGTGGGATGTGGGAGCCCGTGCGTGGGACGTTGCAATGGCAAAGCTTCCCAAGGGCTATTGGTATTTATGTCGAAGTCTTTGTTTTCCCTTTATCTGTACCCAGAGAAATACCAACCGCGCGAATGCTTTATGCATACAGGAGTTGAATTACCTTACGTCGTTGCATTGCTACGCAATAATCACATCGAAGTTCATAATATCATGGATCAGAAACTCGTGCAAAGTTTTCAACTCGCGACAAAATCAAGGACAATCTCAACCGGCCCGGGAATTAAAGTACGAGTAACAGGGTTGACGGAAAGGCTAAAATTAGAAAATTTATTTTCAACCATGAGTGAAGGTGACCCGAACTCGCTGGATGAATTCAGAACAGGTCGGGATGGTTTTCTAGCCACAGTTCCCACAAGGCTTATCATTGCTGGCAGTGAGTCTGTAATGGCCCTAGCGGCAACTCCCTTAACCGTTCAAGTAGGAATTCATTGTAAATCTTGCCAAATTTTGATGACAACAATGTTTTTTAATATATTATGCATTGATGGATTAACAAGGTCGACGCGATATTGGACAATGCGACGTTGGACGCGAACCATGTTGACAAGGCTTTAGAATTAGCCGATCAAGCAATAAGTACTGCAACGCCAGAAAATGTTTACGGCGAAAGAATGGCAAGCTTTAATCATTTCTTTGGTATTTCTTGTGCAAAATTCGCGACCAAAATCAAAATCTGATTATATGAAAATCTTACTTTAGCGCCACGAATTTAATTACATTCACCAAAAATCAGGGTTTATTTATCTTGGTGAAACGCTATTCGATCTGGCGCTACCATTGTTCGAAAAGGGAAAAATCGATCCTCGCGTTTTGATTAGATTTTTTTCTGAAATGAGAGATGTGCTCGACGAGAATGAGCCCGTTAACATATACTCCGGGGTTAAGGAAGTCGCCGACCGGCTAGGAAGCATCGAAGATATAGGTAGATAGTGAATTTCCTCGAGCGTGAAATTTTCTTTTCTGAATAATCTTTCGTGAATTAAATAACCTTGTAATTTTATTCCAGTGTCGGGCACCATGATAAAAAATTATGATCCGCACATCAAACCAGATATCGAGACAGCTCCAGCTACACAGAAGCTTAGTAAAATCCTCATTACGAACGCAAAAGAAATGCTGCAAAAGTTTTTGACGTGGGATCGAGAGCAACGAAAATCATCGGGGAAAGTTTTGACGAAAGAAGATAAAGCCATTCTAAAAGTAATCGATTAATCCCTTTTTCACAATATACTTCCGACTTTGCACTTGCTAACGATGATTCGTTTGTTTTACAGGCGGTCGATAACGCGTTAGTCCGTTTATATTCAGAAACGAATTCGGTTGATTTGTTGAGAAATTTATTGGAGGGTGATAATCAATGTGATTTAGATCTATGCAAAAAGATCTTGGAAGACCATAAGGTGGAGATTCATTTGGAGAATAATTTTTCACGATTATGATACTATACTGACATCCGAATTTACACGGTAGAAATTTTACCCTTTGTCGCTCCTTTATATACAATGGAAGGAGTATAGAAAAGCTTTGGAAATTTGGAAAAGGTATGTACAGGTTATTGTAAAAGTAAATCCATTGATCTACATTTGCATCAATAAAGAATGATTTTTTTAGCCTTATTGATCAAAAAAACTCGAATCAAGATTTCCCCGATGGATTACAAAAGATGGCCGATTTTCTTGCAAAATCAAGTGACCAAGAATTCTTTTGGGAACATGCGAGTTGGGTCATTCATAGAGATGAGATAATAGGGGCGAAGGTATTGTCTGTCGATAATTTCCAAGTAGAAATTCAGTGCCTATATTTTCCATTCTTTGCCCGTTTATTTAGATATTCACTCGACAAGACTCGAAGAAACATCTTCATATTGATCCGAACGTAGTAATAAAAGAGCTGAGATCGGTTGGAAAGAGTGGTCTGAAAGTATACCTCGAGTACTTGATTACTTCGCGTAAAAGTCAGGTTCGTGATGTGATGTGGATAATTTATTGTCACTTTAGAATATAATGGTCGATTATATTATGGTAGGAAGAGGAACATCACACGGAATACGCATTATTGTGCATAAAAGGTCTTCAAGCAGAATTACTTCGAGAAGAAGTACAATCAAAATTTGAAGTGCTGAGTACTGTGTTACAAAGTTTTTTTTTTTTTTTTTTTTTTTTTTTTTCTTTAGACACCTTGATATATTTATTTTCATATATTTAACGATCGTATATATATGATGTAATTTTTTTTTTTTTTGATGTACCTAGCGGATTCTTTCGTTAAACGCAAAGGAACTAGACAGACATATCTCTCATTCTTAAATGGTCAACCGACAGATGATACATTGTCGCAAGCACGTACGAAATTGATGACTTTCATGCAGACATCAACTCGCTTAAACGCCGAAGAAGTCTTGACCAAATTAAAGGAAATCGAAGTATTGAAGGCAGAATTAGCCATTGTTTTTGGAAAGGTATATTAATAAATATAAAGACTCCAATGTCCTTCTAGATCAATATTAAGAGTTTAATTCTTCGGAAAATTTAAAGTTAGGACAACATGAAACCGCATTAAGGATTTTAATAAATGACCTGAAAGATTATCGAGGTGCTGAAATATATTGCCTTCACGCCGGTCGCATGATCGGCATGATAAATAAGAGTACATCGAAGAAATATATTGATAAAAAGATAAGTGAGGAGAAAAGTCAATTTGCAACAAGACGAGATTTATTTCTGACGTTGCTGAAGGTCTATCTTGAAATGGAAAATAGGTATGTTTAATTGAGAGCATATAAAGTATTTTGTTTAGATGTTGGTTACGTCAATAAAGACACTTTTTTTTTATCAGAGACGAGATAGTAGACATAATAATTCATCTATTAAATACTCAAGCCGTTTACATGGACATTATGGAGGTAACTAATGCACGATTTGTATATAACCCTCCACTCCAATCCTTCAGATTTAATAACATCTGTACTTTTTCTAAATAGGTTTTATCTCTTCTGCCAAAATATTGGTCTGTGGAAATGTTAAATGAATTCTTAATCCGTTCGCTCAGGAAAAATTATCACGAATACAGAGAAGGACAGATCCTCAAAGGACTATGCCGTGGCGAAAATACAATGGTGTGATAACTTTCAAAATATCAATGTAGTCTGAGATTAATAATTGAAATGATGTTAACTGACTTTTCCCGACCGCTCTTCTTTTCACTAATCAGATAACACACGAGTTATTTCAAAAGTACAAAGAAATTGGACCCATAATCATTACGCAAAATGTAGTTTGCGCTGCATGCAAAAAACACATTAGCGGAGCTGGATTTAAAAGACTACCGAATAGTGACATAGTACACGTTCGATGTGGCGTCGATGATGAACATGGTGAAGGCAGTGATGTCGCAGAATACGAAGATTTGATCGATGTCGATAGGTCTCTCCCATTGGGTGCTAGTTAAACTGTTTCCCTTTTCTCGGAGAATATTTTGATTATCATTTATGTACAAAAATTTTTTATTAAAACTGTAAAATTTGTTTGTATTATTAGAATATGTACATTGAAACGGGTCAAAATAAAAAAAAATTGCGATCAAAGATCCACTTTTTAAGAATGTTTTATTATCAGAGAGCATTTATGGCAAATATAAATTTTGAGACACCGTAAACTCTTTCGAATAAATTGACTCAAACCTCACTTTTGATTGACATTGTCATTTTCTTCCACCACCAGTTATTTATTATCCGTGGGTTCATCATTAACATCTTATTAAACGTATGCCTTATTGTTAAACATCCTTTTTTTTTATTATTTTTACGTGTTAACCCTTTCGCCATAATATAATAAAAATATATTTTTCTTGGATTATAAATAAATTCCCACTAAATTGAATTATTTGGCTAGGTTTTACGAAGTATATAGCTGTTTAAGATAATTCTGTTTTCCTTTTTTCACATAAAATCCTCTTCCAAATCAATTTCTTCACCATCAGCTGAATTTTGATAATTACTACGCATGTTCGTCTCTTTGAAAATTGAATCATAGGAATTTTTGGTCACTTGTTCTTTTCGTTCCTGTTCCAGACGTTGTTCCTCTTGTTTCTTCATAAGTTAAAGAAAAAAGTAAGCATGTGTCGGAATCTTTCTTTGGTTTAATGATGTATCAATGTTCATACCTTAGCATTAAGTGCATCCCTTGCTATCTTCCGCTTTTCTTTCTCCATAGAAGATTTCTCGCCAGCAAGATCCGGAAAACGTTCTACTTTCGTTTTTTCTAATTTTTTGATGATCGCATTATCCTTTTTGCTCACCGTCATTTTCTTAACCTTATGTTATTTGGCGCAATCCGAGAACGCAGGTCAGATGACGTCATTACCTTCAAGAGGAATTATGAAGGGTCAAAATTAGAAGTTACCAATTTGTGGTTACGAAAGCTAACTTCTCCAGTCGCCATCTCCCCGGTCTTCAATAGGTTTGACCAGGGCGTATATTGAACCATAACATTCTTTTCCTTTCTACCTGCAAATGTGTGAATATACATACACACTGTCTAGTGAGATCCTATAAATTTTGACCATAGGTAAATAGCTTTTAATTTACGAGTGCATACCAATTATACTGCTCTCTTTGACCAATTGACCCAGTTCATTCAAAAGAACTTCAGGAATGTCATCCCATCGTTGTCCCTCTCGAAGTCGAAGGTATACATGACCACTCGAATGTGGATGAACATGAAACTAGAAATTCAACAAAACCGCGCCGTTGAATTATAAGTTGAAAGTCTTTTTCTTGTTTTCTTAACGAACGATACATACCCTAAGAGTGCACCGTTTCCGATTTCAAATTAATCAAAGTGGTTTAACAACAGAGGTTGGTATATAGCTAATTCCATGCACCTACGTATATCTTAAATCGATCGCACTAGAATAGTTGAATCCATGCATGAATCAACTAAGCCATACCATACATCTTCCTCCCATCCATGCTTTATCAACTCATCATCTGTGATTCAAAAAGAATTAATAATAAACCAGGAAGAGTAGACGTATCGAAATCACGTTCGAACTAGAGTATTTACTTTCTTCCTTATCCTTGCCCATATATATAAAGGCGGGTGGGTCAACCACTAAGTAACAACGTCTAAAATTAATATCTCTTTATTGTTGATTGATTTCAAAACACGATATCGATTTTCCCTGATACGATACCATTACTGGTATAGTAATAGACCATCGTTGGAATTTCTTCGGTGCCCGGCGTCTAAAGTTTACGGTGAATGTGTGAACGCTATGGTGGCCGTTGGCCAATCAAAAATGTAATTTATTATATTTATTATATCCTTTGAAATTGGTCACTAATAAGGAAAGACCCATTGGCCTAGTACCTCAAAACCTCACACCCTTGCTTGATCCATAGTTGCTAGATATTACCTATATTTCGATGTATCTATATTATAGCTTTAATAATAGAACTTAGGATTTTTATCTCGCGTAATTTGTGATTT